CACAGCCCCCCCCACCCCACCCAACATCCGCAGGAAAACAGAAACCAAACCGGCGGCTGCTTTTGGTTTTGCCTTTTTTTTCCCCGTTTTGAGTTTGGTTTTTTAACTCCTTTCTCTGCCGCAGGTTTAACGTTCTGCCTCCTGCCCCACGGCGAGCGGCCACCGACCCACGGCGAGTGGCCACCGACCCACAGCATCCCCTGCCCCACAGCGAGCGGCCACCAACCCACGGCGAGGGGCCACCGACCCACAGCGAGTTGCCCCTGACCCACAGCGAGGGGCCACCGACCCACGGCATCCCTGACCCATGGCGAGCAGCCCCCCCACGGCACGCCTGACCCACGGCGAGGGGCCACCGACCCACAGCGAGTTGCCCCTGACCCACAGCGAGGGGCCACCGACCCACGGCATCCCTGACCCATGGCGAGCAGCCCCCCCACGGCACGCCTGACCCACGGCGAGGGGCCACCGACCCACAGCAAGTGGCCACCGACCCACGGCAAGTGGCCACCGACCCACAGCGAGGGGCCACTGACCCACGGCGAGGGGCCACCGACCCATGGCGCCCCTGACCCACAGCAAGTGGCCACCGACCCACGGCGAGTGGCCACTGACCCACGGCGAGTGGCCACTGACCCATGGCGAGGGGCCACCGACCCACAGCAAGGGGCCACTGACCCACAGCGAGGGGCCACCGACCCACGGCGAGCGGCCACCGACCCACGGCGAGGGGCCACTGACCCATGGCACCCCTGACCCACGGAGAGCAGCCACCGACCCACAACAAGCAGCCCCCCATGGCACCCCTGACCCACAGCAAGTGGCCACCGACCCATGGCAAGTTGCCCCTGACCCACAACGAGTGGCCCCCACAGCATCCCCGACCCACAGCGAGTAGCCACCGACCCACAGCAAGTGGCCACTGACCCACAACAAGCAGCCCCCCACGGCACCCCTGACCCACAGTGAGCAGCCCCCCACGGCGCCCCCGACCCACAGCGAGTAGCCACCGACCCACAACAAGCAGCCCCCCACCCAAGACCGGAAGCGCCGCGAGCAGG